TGGCTGGCATGTGGTGCTGGGGATCGAACCGCGGTCCCTGTGCTTTGCCAAGCTCGTTTCAAGTAGGTGCATTAGACCACTGAGCCATCTCTCCAGCCCCAGTGGTGGTGAATATTAACTTCTATTTTTCCCTTGAGAGGTATTTTGGAGGGGAACTACTTCTCCAGATGTTGAATTAAAAAAGGAAAGGTGAGTGGTTAAGGATTGAGGTCCTTAATCTGTCCTGATCTCAAGGAGAGCTGCTCAGATGGCCCTCCACAATTTCTTCCTCACCTTCCAGAGATACTTTTTTTTTTTTTTTTTGCAGGACCAGGGATTGAACTCAGACCCTTGCGCTTAGCCAGGGAAGCGCTTATTTCACTGAGCTATCTCCCCGGCCCCTTGTCCTGATCTCATACCCAGATTATAGAAGTTTCAAGCAGACAACAGGGTCTGAGGATAGTCAGTAGAGGGCAGCTTCGGAGTCAACCCAAGTGTTAGCAACTACTGCATTGATGGCCAACAGAGTGTGACCTCACAGCTGGCTCTAATTCCGAGTCCACCACCTACCAGCTGTGTGGCCTTGAGCAAGTTACTCAGCCTCTCTGAACCATAGTTTCATTATCTGCCAGATAGAAATTATACCTACTCTGTAGCATCCATGTGAAGATTAAAGATAGCTAACGAGTTCGTGCCCACCACGACTGATGGTCAAAGAAGCAATGGTCACCTTTTCACGATCTGTCCTCTACTGCCATCTGTCCTCCAGAAAAATAGGGCCCCAGAATGCAGGAGTGTAAGTCTCAGGATCCAGAGCAGCACGCACGGGCTCAGTTTCCCTTTGGAGAGAGGTGCAGAGTGGGGTTGTGATGCCTATGTGTGCAGGAGTGGCCTTGGCCACCCGAAGGTTTAGCAAGCTGCAGAGCTTTTTACTTATGTGTATTAACCCAGCAGTAATGAGACTTGACTAGGGGGCTAGACTGGCAGGAGCGTGAAGTCCTTTCTCTGTGCGGGTGGCTGTCTGGTCCTCCGCCGGTGGGCACACCAGCCCTGATGTATTTCCCAGAGAGCAGTGGAGCATCTCTAGGTGACAGGGGCAGTGTGCCGACCCCGCAGCAGCCATCTGCAGGACACAGGTCACTTGCTGGGGTCGTTGAGGCATCATTTTGCCCTCTAGCCATGGCCTTGTTAGCCCCATGGGCTAGTTAACCAAACCAGCTGGCCCCAGCCTAGCTCAGACGCACACGGTAGTTTCTGGCATCTGGTAGGCCACGAGCCCAAAGTTTGTTTATCAGTGTGCCGCAGCCACAGCTCGCATGAGGGGCAGCCGTTCGGTGCCTCCTACCCCTGACTAGGAGTGGTGCACAGCGTGCTCGGCCTGCACTTTCCCGTCATGTTCCAGTGTCATGGGAATATGTTTGGGTTGGGATGGACAAGGCCTGGCTCTCGGGCTTGGTTCTGCCACAGTATTGTTCCATGACTGCTCGAATTACTTTCTCTCTTTGAGTCCCAGTTTTCTCATCTGTAAATTGGAATTTAATATTCCACACTCTGCCTGTCTCACTAGAATGAAGTACAGACCCAAACAGAAAATGGATGCTTTATGACTTCTATTGTGAAAGGGGTTAGAGTACCTGGGTGCGGTGGCTCATGCCTGTAAGCTCAGTACTCTGGGACTGAGGCAGGAGGATCCTAAATCTGAGCCTATACCAGGCAATTTAATGAGCTCCTACCTTAAAAAAAAAAAAAAAAAAAGAGGGTTGGGGATGTAGCTCAGTGCAAAGGCTTTGTGTTCTATCCCCAGTATTAAAAAAAAAGGGGGGGTTATAGTACAGCTCCTCAGGAAGAAGACTATTATCATTAACAACTTCTGTTCACCCTTTTCTCTGGATTTTTGTAGGCAGCACAATATGCTATGTTCTAAAACATGATCCTTTGTCTTCCATGGGGAGAGTTGGGTCCCAGGCAAGTTTAGCAGCAAAGGGAATAACAGGAAATGTCTTCAAGATTCAAAGGCAGGTAGTCCTATGGCCAGCTCAGACATGGGGATCTTGGGGACTCGAGCTCCAGTTTTATGGGAACTTCTTGCCATCTAGCTGCTTCTGCAGTCTCCCCATTTTGTTTTGCTCATCCGCTCTGAAGCCCATGGCCCTCCCCTGTGGTTACCACCCTCCTGGCACAGACAGCTGCCCTCAGCCCTTTCCTGAGTATCCTTGCTTTCTCCAGCCAGGTGGCCCCAGCAGCTGGGCCACACCATCCTTAAAATTTACTGCATGTGTCTCAGAGGGCTCACACGCATGTCTTGTCCTTTAGGGACTCTTTTTTTTTTTTAAGGGACTCTTGATGCTGGGCCCTCCATTGCCTTGTGTTTGTGACCATCCAGTGCCTGATACAGAGCCCAGGAGAGGTGGCCTTCAGGAGATAGGACCTTCTTGAACATCGCCTTGAAGTTCTCCTTCCTACAGAATCCTGCCTGGGTACCTGTGTGCTTAGGATGATCTCTTCACTTATAAGCTGGTAACACTAAGCCTATTTGTCCCCTCCTATAGCTCTGCTTTGTTTGTAAAATCAGGATGGCAATCCTGGGATCACAGCAGCATGGTAAGACTCACATGGCTAAGGTGGAAGTGTTGTCCCTCTGCTCTTAGGAAGATTCTCTGTTCTTGCCTGCTCAGGCATCACTGACAGTAGGCCTTGGAAAGAAGTGAGGAGCCCCTTCATTCCTCAGCAGCACCCCAAATAATCCACAGTTTGAAAAAGTTCAAAGAAACACTAGCAATTTATTGATTTCCTATATTTCAAACACACACACACACACACACACAGCCACACACACACACACATATACATACATACACGCACATATATGGTGTATGATACAGGGAAACTGAGCTTGGCCAACACAAAATTCTATAAAAACATGAAGCAGGGGGAGGGGTGGGCTAGAGGGAGCCCCTCAGGGGCTTCCGCCCTCCCTGTCCCAGAGCCCTATCATCCATCTCCCAGGCAGCAAAGAATATCTCCCATTGGGGTCCCCAGACAACTGTGGGGATGGGACCCTACAGGAGAAGACACTGGTGGTTAGTGACTGGGTGAGTCTTAATCACAGGAGACCCCAGATTCAAGGCAGGCACGGGATCAGTGTCCTTCCTTATGTGTCCCCAAATGGGCACTTTTTGTTTTGACTCATAGTGTGGGGCAATGGGGATTTCAGATACTAAGATGTGCCTCAGATACACAAAGCCCATCGAGGTCCTTTCTATAAAGGATGCATCCCCTCCTTCCTTTTTGATCTTCCCAAATGATAGTGTGATTACAGGCCCAGGTAACCAGCCTGCCTGCACAGCCTGAGAGGACACAAGAGGTTGGCACAGTCAGGCCAGCTCTAACCCTTCACATCAGGTCCCTGAGGTTGGAGTGGCTAATTCATTCCCAAAGCAGAGGGTGGAGCCCACTTGATTTTTTGTTCTGGTGCCGAGGAAACTGAAGCAAGTGGAGGCAGGACATCTGGACCATGCTGCAGGATAGGGCACCTCTCTGGGCTTATAAGAGCTTCACCTGTAGCAATTCATCACCCTCTTTCCCTGGCTGGACCACAGTCACCTCTAACTGGAGGATCTTGAAGCCAAGGACCCCAAGTCACTCCTCCCTCTACCTCCTGGACAGTGTAAGCCATATGATGACAGGGGCAGGGACTGTTTTGTTCACTGATATATTCCAGGTGCTTAGAGCACCCCATAGAGGGGGTGCTCCATAGTTGTTTCAAGAAATAGATCATTCTGGGTCCTGATGACTGGCAGAGAGAGATCCTGAAAACTACATTTGGGATGGGCTGGTGGAACAGACACCCAGGGGTCCCTGGGAAGGAGAGCCAGAAGCAGGCCTTCCAGCGTGGGTCAAACAAGGGAGGGTGTTACACAGCACCCCTGACCAGAGCATCCCTGGCTAGATGGCCTAGGACACCACTCAGAGGATGAACTTCCTGCAGGGATGGCCTCTCCCACCCTTACCTGCTGAGTCTCTTAAAGGGTCATCCCAAGTCCAGAGTGGAGCTCCTAAGTTCTGATGACATGGCTGAGAAGTGGGATTAGGCTATGGGTGGTGTAGACAGAGAGGAGATTTGGGAGGAAGAGCATTCTGTAGCCCTGCAGAGGAAGGCACAGCCCTGGCAGTTAACATCTGAGCACCAACCATGCCAGCCCAGGAGGCACAGGCTAGAATACAGAAGCACAGGGAGTGCTTGGCCCTGCTCGTCTTGCAAGTGTCTGCTAAGTGCTGTTGCCAGAAAGGTCTTCCTCTGAGGTCCTCTGGAGGCCTTCTGCTGCTGACCATCTGAAACACACAACCTGTGGCTTTAGGGGTGTCTGGTGGGAGGGCTCTTATGACATCTGCTGTGGGTTTCACAAAAGACAGAATGGAGACAGGGTGACTGGAGTTCAGAGGAAGAGGGCAGGGATGGCCTGTGGCTGGAATGGGGGTTTGCTGGTGCACTGGTGGGGACACTTCCCCTTCCTGACTATCTGAATTCTCTTCCTCCAGTCCCTGGGACAGAAGACACCCTCACTTGACTCTTGGCAGGCTTGGGGGGAAGTATCTTTCTGGTAATTTCCAACTTGCCTTCCCTATTCCACTGGAAGCTGGAGTAGGCAGATGCCCAGCTCTAGCCCCTGCCTATTTCCCTCTCTACAGTAAAGTTGAAATCAAACAGCTACTCCCTAAACAGCCTTTGACTCAAGGCACCACTTTTAAAAGTCTTCTCTTGCTATAAGATCACACACTTCCTGAAAATAGAACTTTTTTTTTTTTTTTTTTTTTTTTTTGTAATTTAGGGAAAGATCTACAGGGTGTTCAGGGCTTACAAGAGCTTCACCTGTAACAATTCATTACCCTCTTTTCCTAGCTGGACCACTACTAGATTGGACTCATAGTTATCCACCTGTTTACAGCCTCCCAAGAGCTGGGATTACAGGCATGCGCCACCATGCTCAGTCTCAATTGCCATCTCAGCACGCCCCAGGGGATTGAACCCCTGGCTCCTGCACCTGCTTGCAGGTGCTTTAACCTGCTGAGGTATTTGGCCGGCCCCTAGAAGCAGCAGACTGCAGCTGCACTGTGGGTGTACAGCCCTGGAGGACCACACCATCTCCTCGGAGTCTGCTCGCCAGTGTCCTTATACAGCTAAGGAAGTGAGAATGTCCTGCTGCCTCCAGTGACCCACCCCATGCCTAACTGGTGCCCCAGCCGCTGGGAAGGGCAGCACTGTCAGACGCATGAGATTTTCCCATCCAGCCAACCTCCTGTGCTGCAGGTGCCTCTTAAGGTGGAGGTCAGCCCAGATGCACTGCTGGGTGGCAGGAGGGCTGCAGGGCTCCTCTGTGTCCTGGCACACTCCTACCCTGGCACAACCCACCTGAAGATCTATGGGCTGCTAACCAAAAACCACATGTCCCCCTTGCCTATGAGGGAGGAGACACGCAGAGTCCTCCACACTACCTTACGAACTGCAAAGAAACGGCACACCTACCTAGCTTTCTGCAGTGTGTAGTTATGTTGTCGGGCACTCAAGCACACAATACATGCATATGCACATGACGGCATACTTGCATCACACACACACACACACACACACACACACACCCCTCATTTCTCAGAGCAGAAAGTATTGACATGAGATGTAAGCCCCTTAAACTCAAGAAAGCCCCCCCCATCCTCCCCACCCCCCACTTCCTGCCAATTTCCCCAAGGAAAAAAGAATCTAAAAATATTTCCACCCTCCACAGTTTCCACGTTTGCTCTCAGATGCATCTGAACCTTTCCAAAATACTGCACAAGATGGACAGAAAAACCCATCCAGCGAGGCCTGAGGTCTTCTCGACTGGGTTATAGCCTTCTGGAAAACAAAAGGCAATCCGTAAGTTAGCACAGAGGAAGACGGTTCTGTATCAGTAATCCAACACATACCTCCACCGCACCTGCCCCACCATTCAGGCCAGGGTGTGCTCTGGCCTGAGAATGAGAATGGGTTTCTGTCAGTTCATGAACATGCTGGTTGGCTGGGTGGCCATGACCTACCGCTCCCAGCATGCCCTGCTCCCATTCAGTGCAAAGCCTGGCGTGCCCATTCAAAATCTGCAGCCCACTCTCTCTCCTTTTCCAACCTCATGTTGCCCAAGCTCCTCCATTTTGTTCCCACATGGTTTGTCCCAACATAGTTTCAGCCTCCTTCCTCCCAGGATCCTCCTTGGGATTCAGCGCTAGGTACATGGCTTGGATGCAGAGGTGAGAGGGCTTCAATGTGTTCCTGTGACTTGCAGATGGCTCCACATGGGGGCACCCTCTGGATTCCTCTCCAGGTTTGCTAGCTTCTATTCTGAGTAGCTGTTGTGCTGGGCTTACCTGAAGCAGGAGCACTTTGTTTATTTGTATTTTAGGGCAGGGCCTACAGAGTGGTCAGGGTCTCGCTACTAGATCAAATTCATAGTGATCTGCCTGTTTACAGGCTCCCAAGAGCTGGGATTACAGGTGTGCAGTCACCATGCCTAGTCTCAATTGCCATCTCAGCATGCCCTGGGGGCTGGGCCAGCATGGCAGGCCCAGGGATTGAACCCCCGGTCCCTGCACTTGCTTGCAGGTGCTTTAATCCACTGAGCTATTTGGCCAGCCCAGCAGGAGCACTTTAGATGCTTGTTTAAAAATACATTTTCGTGGGTCCCACCCTAGGACTACTGAGTCAGAACTACTGGGGCTAGATTCAGGGGTGTGTATTGTAGCCAGCGTCGCAGGAGACTCTAATGGATGCTAAAGCTTTGGACAAAGCATTGTTTTTGAGTTTCTGGCCCCTTATATCTCAGCTGGAAAGAAGCTTGTTCACACTAGGTATATGCAGAGTCCAGAAAGTGTGTTATAGGAAATGACCTGTGGATGACTATTATATAGCTCCAGGGATACCTATTCTGTATGGGCTGAACAGAGGGCACCTTACACAATTATATCTACAAGTCCCATCAAGGCTGTCTAGCACTTCTAGTGCCACCAGGACATTATACATCTCTGCTGTCCTGTGGTGGACAGCTTGTGCTCTCAGCCAGAGTTCACACAGCTGTCTTCAAAGTCCTCTTGGGAGATGGAGCCAGGCTGTCTGGCAGACTGGGGAGGGGTCTGTGGGAGCACAGGACTAGCCTGGGCCCCCAAGGCTGGCTGAAGCTGTAGCAGTGGTGCTGGGAGTGGCCCTTGCCCTGAGCTGGGCCGATTCTTACCTGCAAGCTGAGCTTGCTTGGACAGCGTCTTCTTAGAATCTGGAGGTAAAGTTCCTGAGGCTGTTGGCCCCGGCTAGGGTTCCCAGCATGTTCCTATCGAAACCTTGCTGCAAGGAAACAGATACCGTGTGACACATCCTAGAACAGAACAGTGTGGGGCTCCTGGGGGGGGGGGTCAGCAACGCCCTCCTGGAAGACACATCCTCAGCTCACACAGCCCCTGTACCAGGTGTGTTCTGAAGATTCTGTATGTAAGTGGGGCTAGAGCCGGCCTAGCTGACTGTGCGAGCAAGCGTGATGCCGCTCATGTCCGCGAGTCAGGGACTGTGTTTGGCCCCTCACCAGCTTATGCTCACATCTACAGGAACCCAGGTCAGAGCATGAGCCTTCAGGCTGGTGCTCACAGCTCTGCAGCAACAACCCAAGTCAGATTACAAGAACTTGACAATTTCTTTCTCTGACTGTCCTTGTTTTTTAAATTCTAACAAGAGCTGCTGGGCAGGGAGGATGGGCTCAGTGCTTCTCAAAGTCAGGAAAGCTCTCACCATCAGCCACTCCTCACCCTCAGCCCCAGCCCCAGCCCCAGCTTCTGCTGGGGGCAGATCGAGGCTGGATCCTGTTCTTTCTCTAGTATAGAGCAGAGGGAATGAGGGGGCATAATGCTGGAGGAGCCACGGGCTTGGGGGCTTGGGCAGAGGCTCCTGGTCCAGGTCAGATCTGTATCTGAGGCCCTTGGTAACAGGAGAGGAGATGACACGGGGTGCACACCAGCAGCCAGCCAGAGCCCCAGGCGCTGTGCTTGGGCATGCAGTGCATGATGTCGTTTTTCCCTGCAGATGTGCTTGCTTGCTCCTGTACAGCTTGGCTGAATTGTGTGGAAAGAACATGTGAGTGAAAGACTGGGTCCTCACCTCCTCGTGCTCTGACTTGCTGAATCTAGGCAAACCCTTTGGACCTCGAGTCCCTATTCAGCAAAATGGGCATAAGCCGTGCAGCCTGTCTCACCCACCCTGGTGACAAGCCGATGAATGATGGATATGAATGCATGTCAGGAACAGAAGCCCCAACCTGGATCCTGCCCAGGTTGTTGTCAGCTATAGCTGGAGGGAGGAGTGGAGACTGACGGGCACCCTGGCTCTCAGAGGCACCATGCAGGAGAGAATTCTCGAGGAAAGTGCAGGGAGTCGATGCCCTGCATGTTGCAGCCAGGAGTGGGGAGCTGAGTCCTTTGCGGCACCCTCAGATGGCCCAAGGAAGCAACCACCCTGTCCTTACTGTGTCTTCCCCTGCCTCAGGGTCCACCTAGCAGCTGCATTTGGTGAAGCCCACCCCCATGGTGGTATTTTTCAGAGGAGGGCTCTGGAGTGTCAGGTGCAGAGCAAGGCCCACTCTTTCAGTGATTTCCCAACCCTGCTGGGCCACAGGGACCTTCTGGCCCCTGTGCCATTTCCCTGCAGTGCTGGAGAAGAGCTGGCCTTCCTCCCCCAGTGGCATGGGGTGTGCATCCTCCCCTCCTCCTGCAGCTCCTTCACTCTGCCTCCTCCTCCCTCTGCCTCTCATACCTCAGCTGTTCAGATCCCATCTTTAACTGCCCTTTTTCAACCTCCTCCTCTTTCTTTCAGGGTTAAACTACAGCCCCTCATACCATGCCCATTGTTACCCCACCCACTCCAGCTCCATGGTGTCTCCCTCGCCAGGCAGCAGTGTTCTGAGGTCCCCAAGGACTCTGAAGCACCAGACAGATCCAGGGCCTTTCTTGGTCCCCGTCCTCCTCATCCGCTCCATAGCACTGGAGGCGCTGCCACAGTTCCTGAGAGCTCTCTCCTTTTCCACATGGTCTTGGGCCCCTACCTGGGCCCCTTGCTCACATCCTTCCATTTCCTTCCTTCTCCTCAGTCCCCAGGTGAGGTCTTCGTATCCCTGCCTATGACCCTGAAGTCTTCCTTGTAGGCCTGGGCCCCACGAGGGGCTTGCCTGATCTCATGGTCACTCCAGTGTGGACTGCAGTGCTAGCCATGGTTCCCACCCAAGCTGTCCAGAGGCAAGCTCACTCCAAGAGCATCCTGGACCTCTTGCCAACTGATGTACCTCTGTTAATGCAACTGGAATGCCCTCAAGTGAAAGCCCCGAGAGTCACTAGTCCTGCTCTTCTGTTTCTTCTGTCCCTGTCTTTATTTCCACGTTTCTGCTGTCCATGTCTCAGCCCACAGACTGGCTGCTGTGGAACTGGGGGAGAAGGGTCATCTGCCAATGGCTCACATCCCCAGCCCTGAGGGAGGCCTTGCTGGTGCTTACACCGGGGGTTCATTGAAGAAAGAGGGGACAAAGGTCACCCTAGACAAGCTCAGCAACCTCCAGGACCCATTCTGCCTCATTCATTGGCACGGAATTCATCATGCTTCCACCATGAGGCCCTCTATTCAAAGGCTTGGCCAGCACAAAGGCACAAGTCTGAACTCTTCAGCCTACAACTGAAGGGGTTTTGTAACCCAGCCCAAAGTGCACACCTACCCCCTGCCAAATGACCTGTGTGTTCTTTGCTCCTTTTGCTTGTCAGTCTGCTCTTAACCACTCACATACTTCCTCTGCCCTTCACACACATGACAACCTGGTAGCTCCCAGGTCCTGGGGATTTGGGCTGAGAGGCATTGCTTCTCAGACCCTCCTTGGGTGGGAGTCTCCTCTGGGTGGCGGGGCCCGATCTGCCTCTCCATTCTTGGCCCATGGGACTTCAGTAGAGGGCAGGTATGGGGAGAGCTCATCAGAAGGGGTCATGGCATGGGCTCTTACCTGTCTGAGGACACCCTGCAGCTCCTTGTTGGACCACATGTCAGACAGGAGGAGCCGCGCCGCCTCTGCAGCTTTGGGTGAAGCGCTGGGCAGGTGGGAAGTGTGACTGTGAGAGGAGACTCCTCCAGGAGGTGAGCGATCATGCCTACCTCCCACTACCCTTGGCACAGGTAGGATGCATGACAGGGGAATGTATCCTCTGCCCCTGCCCACCCAGAGCCACCCTAGGGGCCATGATCTGGTCCTTCAGCCCTTGTGCTCAGAGATGCAGCCTAGAAAAGCTCCCATGCAGCTGGGTCTGCTGCCCAGTGCTTCTGGCTGACTCTCAGGACCCAGTGCCCCTGCATGTGCCTCAGTCAAGAAGTGCACCACCTGTGCCCCTTTGTGCAGTCCCGAGGCTGGGGAACTGTGCCTGTAGCCCACAGCACGCTTGGCTGCTGGAACTTCTCTCCGATCAGGCCATATGCCCCTCCTTGTACTAGATGCTTCCCCCCTCCACCTCAGGGCCTGCTGTGCAGGAAGAAGGGCCATGCCAAGGGAAGGCCAGCAGGGGGTGCTAGTCCGTCCCCACCCACCTGCTGCGGCACAGGTTGATGACATTGTTGAGCATGCTGCTGGAGAAGTACTGCTTGGCCATCTGCGGCTGCGAAGCCATCAGGTTCCTCACAGTGTAGCAGGCCGAGGACAAGATGTCTTCAGAGTTGTTGGTGTTGCCAGTATGGCTGGTGAGGAGCCTGGTCACCTCTGGGAATACTTGATTCCCTGGAAGAGGAAGGAATTGGTGCAGGGTCAGGGTTGCCAAGAGGACAAGGGGCTCAGGGACTGCCTCCAATAGCACAGTACTAGGCTGCCCTCGGCTAGGCTCTGAGCAAGCTGACCCTGCAGGGCTCCATGTCAGTTCCAATCCACAGGGGACTTCTTCAGACCTGCTGCCCTGCTGCAGCTGCCTCCCAGCTCCTGAGCCAGCTTCCCTTCTGAATGCTTGCCCAGGGGAGTGGTTCAAGGTCAGGGTGACCTTTCAGCAGGCTCTGGAACATGAGCAACCTGCACGTCTTGTCTGGAGGACAAAGGAGGATGCCCTCTTACCCATCACTCTATGCAGCACAGGATGGCGGGACATGTTGCTCAGGAGGGAGGCCCCGGACCGCACCACATCAGAGTTGCCAGATTGCAGGAGGCGGGCAATTTGTGGCAAGCCCTTTTCCTTCAGCCCAATCAGCTGGCTCATGCCACTGGACATCTGTGAGAGAGAGACAGAAGGCTTTCAGAGGAGCTGGCTTGTAGCTTCCCACAGGCAGGCAGAAAGCAACAGGAGATCCTAAGCCCAGAACCCAGGACCTTTCCTCCTTCACACTGGAAGCATGGGCAGAGACACAGAAATTGCTCATACTCAGGGGGCCTACAGAACCCAGGCTCACTTGCCCCCTCCTGTTCTTGTTCCCTGCCCCCTGGATGACAGCTTGCAGCCCAGCTGGGAGATAGAACCTCATTCCTCTCTCTTGTGGTGGTCCAGAATCAGCTTCTAAGCACCCATACTTCATCCACCTGTTTCAGCTCTACCTCCTTCAAATACCCTTCGCTGCTCACAAGGTACAATGTAGTCAAGGGCATTTGCTAATTAAAGAAGGACTAGGGCTAGGGGTGTAGCTCAGTGGCAGAGCACTTGCCTAGCACCCTGAATTCTAAACCCTGCCTTGAAAAACAAAACAAAACATCTGTTATCTTCCAATTTTCCTACCTGTGCTGAAATTTAAGTGATATTTGTTGTGGGCTTGTCTGAGAAAAAGATGGATCAGACATAGTCTGGGTTTTTGTGGAAGTATACTTAGGGTCCCCTGGAGGTAGCTCAGCTCTTCTGGGCCTCTAAGCAGTAAGGTATCTTGTTGGGGGCTGGGCTAGGCCAGGCTGGGGTCACGGAGACCCCTGTCTCGTCCCTCACAGGCAAGTTTCCTTACCCTTAGGCCATCAGCGTTCACGGCTGCCCAAATCCCTTTCATCCTAAGTAAAGCCCTGGACAGTTAGTGAGCTCCAGGCCTTCTCTGGCTTCCTTCTATACCATCATGTCCACAAAGCTGTATTTGGGTTCAAAATCTGTTCTAGTTTGTCACATCTTCCTCTGGACCTTCTGTGGTCCATATTCTTTTTCTACTATGTCAATTCATCAGATGGAAACTCCTACCAAACTCACTCTCCATCACAGGTAGCCAGGGGGTCAACACTGGGGCAGGACCATTGAGGCAAGCAGGTTAGTGGGCTGTAGCCTGGAGCTACCAGAGGCCAGGGGCATACCCAGGGCCTCTCATGCTCTTATTTGCAGCATGAAGCTCACAGCCTGTATGTCCACAGGGAAAGGCTGGTGGGAGAAGCAGGGAACCAAGCCTAGAGTGTGGGGAGCAGCAAGTGGGAGGGTCCCTCTTACCAGCCCCTTGCTGGCTGTCAGGTTCTGCAGGGCACCTGCACAGGCCTCCAGGGTGGCATCCTTCTTGCTCTTGCCCATGAGGTTCAGGTAGGTGCGGATGGCATCTGAGTGGTACAGCCAGCTGCTGCCCCTGGGGTTGGTCTCTTCCTCCGGAAGGGGACACTCATAGTTGTTGTTCTGAGGACCGAGAGCAGGTCAGCGGACACAAGCCAAGCATTCTTTCCCTCCCTGAACTTCAGGGTTGTGGTGACTGATGAGAGGACCTGAGAAAGTGCTTGCAGAGGCAGGAGCCCTGGGGACAGCCCCTGCACCCCTTTCCTCTGTGGGCCTCAGTGCTCCACAGAAAGGTCCTTGACTTTACTATCTGAGGGTAGGAGTGGGGGGAAGATGGCATTCTTGATACCTCAGGAAGAACGCTCCAGGTCAGCCTCAGCCCAGACCTTCCGGTTGCGTGAGGCCACTTTGGGGTCTTACATAAGATGCTTTCTATCTTTTGGGGTCAGAATGTGGGTTTGACCTGCTCTAGGCTCACAGGGATGGTCTGGGCCTGGCTTTCAGCTGTGCGTGGTAGAGAAAGCAGACGCTCCTTCCATTGAACCCTCTCTGGGGGCTCTGGAGGTGATGCCTGGGAAAGGTCTCAGTTCTGGTTGTCCCCTGGCATTAGGTGTCAGGGAGAAAGTGGGAGACTGAGGCTTATGGAGTGGGGGCTGGAGCTTCGCCCTTGGAGTAGTCTGGGCTCCTGCAGGGCTAGAAGATAGGTCCCCTCATTGTGCAAGATGGAAGGCCCTCTCCCTGCTCTGAGAGAGCAGCACACGCCTAAGGCTGAGGCTTCAGCAGGGGTTTGGCCACTGGGACTGCTTTCAGGCCCCATGAGAGCCGAGAGGAAGGGTGGGCAGGGCAGTGGACCTGGGGGTGGCCCTGGCTCTGTGGAGGGACAGTGCTCACCATCATCCTGTCGCTCTTGTTGCTGAAGCAGCCGGTGGAGGACTTCTCTGTGTAGGCATTGCGGGCATTGTACTCCAGCTGGCGGTAGCGGGTGGGCACCTCGGCATCCAGGCGGTAGGAGAGGTTGTGCAGGATGCACATGCAGTTCTCCACGGACTGCAGAGTGAGCAGAGGCAGGCACATGAGCCACTCACCCCCAAGCACCCGACGGGCTCCTGGGCTTTCCAACCCCTGCCTGACCAAAGCAGCATCCAGAGAGGTGAGCAGATGCCTGCTGCACCCTCATTCCACAGGGATCACCCAGGGACTCTGCTGGGACCTAGATTCGAATCCTGACTCTGTCATTTCCTGGCTATTTGAACCTGAGTGACTTGCCTCACCTTTGTGGACCTCAGTGTCTCCAGTTGTAAAGTAGAACTGAAATCACTTCAGTGGAAGATTGAGGGGTCCCCTCTATCCTGGGGATCCATATCCATGGATTTAAATTAGTTTTTAAAAAGTTACATCTGTATTGAACAAGTGCCAGCTTTCCTCTTGTCACTATTCCATAAACAATACAATATAGCAACCATTTATGTAGTGATGACATTGTATCATTGTAATTACAGGTGTTACAAGAAATTTTATTTTTTTTAAAGAAATCTTTTTGCTGATGAGTGATGGTAGGATGTGCATAGCTTGTATGCAAATACACCGCCACTTTTTAGAAGGGACTTGAGCATCCATGGATTTTGGTAGCTGCTGACACCTTGGAATCATCCCAATGTTCCCAAGGGGCAGCTGTGTGTGGAGAGTACCACCATGGGACTTTCTGCAGTCATGACAGGTGGTGGTGACAACTTGTCCTGCTGTGGAGTCTTGGGTCTTTAGTGTGTGGACAGATTTCCTGAACTTTTTGTATATGACTCTTTGGGTGACTCATTATAAAATAATCTTATACAGTATATGTGCTGTATTGTATGTTCCCCTTGCAAAGCCCCAAACTATGACAGCAGGGTCACACAAGTGCAGGAGATGCTGTACGCAGAGCAGAAAAGCACTTTGCTCACAGCAACCGGGCTGGGCAGCCATGTGACAAGGCTCTCCTCTGGGGCCCCGTTGTCACTTCCAGGGGAGGAGAGAAGAGATAAATCTCTCCTCTTGGCAAAGGTGTTCAGGACTCAATTGCTATGAGGCCCTACCTCTCCCCTGAATTGCTGGACCTCTCTGGAGCCTGCTGAGCCACTGTCCTGCCGGGGCGGAAGCTACCTAGGCTTCAGCTTATCTTCCCTCTATGCCTTGTCCCTTCTGTCTGTGCTGGCAGGCAGGGGCCTGCCAATGGCTTTTATGGGAAGAGAGCTGGGGCAGAAGGACATGGAGGCCCTGGAATATATCCATCTGGAGTACAAGGAATGGGGTGCCCCAGGCCCACGGCCCTGTGCTGTGCCTTGCTTGCAACACCTCTGCTGCCCTAGACGCTGTCTGTCTGGTCACTAGGCCCAGGCCTCAAAGCTACCCAGAGAGTGAACCCTGACTCATGGGATCTGCGAGACAGGAGAGAGTCTGAGGATCTGGCCTCACTGGGCGCAGGGGCTGAGGTGTCACCAGGAGCTGCGCACTCACCTTGTCATCGCAGCGGCTGGCTGCCACGCAGTTCTGGACATAGGCCATGAGGGAGTCGATGAGCCCTGTGTAGTTCCGCATGGTCTGGCGGCCCGCATCAGCAGAGCTCAGGTTCCTGTGGACAGAGCAGAGGAACAGGATGTGGGCAGTGGGTTGAGGAGAGGACAAGGAGGAGGGTGGTGTCAGGGCACCAGCTGGGAGTCGGGGGAAGGTGGGAGAGGAGCAGGCAGATGGAGCAGGTAGAGGGAGGTTGGAGGTTGTGGTGGGATGGGGAAGCAAGGAGGAAAATGCAGGGAAAAGAAAGGAAGAAAAAATTGTTCCACCCCCAGACTCTTGGTTCTCAGCGGTTCCACTTGTAACTGTAGGTGGCAGCTCCCCACACCCATGCCCACCACATATAGTGATGTGGCAGGGGTGAAACTGGAGGCTCCTGCAAGCTAGACCTCTTTCTGTGGGGCAGGAAGAGTCTCTGCAGGGTGCAGGATGGCGGAATGAAGCTCAGGGTGTTCACAGGGGCCAGACACACCCGGCTCCCAAGCAAGTTGTGTTCTGCCACAGCACTAGCTCATCCCCTTGCAGCATGGGTCCTTCTGCCTGATGGTGGTGAGGAGTGTGTGTGTGTGTGTGTGTGTGTGTGTGTGTGTGTGTATGTGTATTGTCCATTGTTGCTTCTAGCAGCCCTGCAACCCCATAAAGTCCTTAATTATCTGGCTTTTCATCTCGTAGTCTCTCTGCTCTCTGGAGGCTGGCGGGAGAAGCACAAGTTGAGACACAGAGGCTCATGCCAGCTGCACCCACCACCCTGGGGGGTTCTTAGGAGCTGGAGAAGACAAGCCCTGCTGGAGCAATGTGGAACTCTAAGGGGGATCTTGCGCCACAGTCCCCCATTCCACATGGGGGTTCACCCCTCAGCCTGGAAGCCTCTCCTCTGAGAAAAAGCACAGCCAGATCCCTCCTCCAGCAGCCCCACAGGGGCTGTGCCACACCCTGGCATGGAATTGAAACAACTTTGGGCAAAGCAGTACCATCTTCACGCCAATGAGCATGGCAAACGGGTATAGCACTACAGCAGGAAAGTGACTCATATGCAGCCAATCAGTAGACTTTTGTCTAAAAGAATGCTCTTCAAGATAGTACAAGAAATGGATTTTTCCAGGGGTGGAGGGGGGTGGATTGTTGATCCAGGTTGAATGTTCAGATCCAGGCATTTCTACTCTTCAACTCCAAATTCTGTCTGCTACACTCCTAGTTATGTTAATGGAGGTAATAGGGTCCTGAGCCTCATCTAGACTGAGGGACATTAGTAAGCTATGGCTGGCCACTTGACTTGGAGACTGGCTCCCTAGAGCCCGGGCAAGCTGTATGCTGTGTTCTCTGCCCTGGTAAGATGTTGCCAGAGATGTGACTGCCTGGTAGGAAGGGTCCTGGGATGAGGCAGCAAAAGCCTTGTTTCCTCTTCTCTCACCTCAAGCAGCCTGTGGCATTGAAGAAGACCTCAGGGTCCACCGTATCCCTGGACATGTTGCTGTTGCCATCACACCAGCCCGAGAAGGGAATGATGACCCGGTCAGCCAGAACAGGCAGGGCATCGGCCACCAGCTCCTCCTTGAGCTCATCAGTGGAAGACAGGTTCCACAGCAGCCCTGAGGGACAGAGGTGGTCAACTCAACACTTGCAGTCTTAGAGGCGCCCAGGGGCTGTGGTCCCCTCCCTCAAGCCTGGGCTCTAGCGGATGGATCCTCCCTGGTGGCCTTGGTTCACTGGACCTGTTTTGTAATTCTTTCATGAACACAATCTCAATGTCCCCCCTGGACTGGGAGTCCTTGAAGGATAGGAGCGTCTGGACTTCTCTGTTGAGGTCAAAATGAAGCACACAGATATATTTGATTGATCAGTGACTTTGATTATTTATTTATTATTGAGATACTGCAATTGAACCCAGGGCTTTGTGCACACTGGACAAGTACAGTACCCCATAATGACATCCTCTTTTTAATTTTATTTTTGATATAAGGGCTTGCTAAGGTGCCTTGGTGGGTCTTGAATTTGAGAGCCTCTTGCTTCAGTCTCCTAAGTAGCTAGGATTATAGACATATGCCATCAGTCACACTGATCAGTGGTTTTAAATGCAAATGCTAGCACCAGGGACATTCTGTGCTCTGCTTTCCGTCTGAAAGTTTTCAGAAATTCTTGTCAATGTTATTCTACACATAGACTTGTCATCCTGGTGCAGTTCGAGGTCTTCACAGTGAAACCTCTTCTCCCTGATGCTTTACCAACAGAGATTTGAGTATCCTTGGCCCACAGGTGGGTGCTAGCGACAGTAAACCGTGCCCCCAACAGCTCTACTCTCTCCTCAACATCAGCAAATCCTAGGGTTTGCTGCATACGTGTCCTGCCTGGATACCAGCTTTCCTCCCCTGAACCTTTACGCTTAAGAAGACCAGAACCTACCTCTTGTGGGGGTGACCCAAACCCAGGATCACCATCTAGTGACCTTTGTCTAGTAGTTTTAAGTTGACAAGCAGTACAAGGCAAGGGTGCTCCTGGCTCAGTACAGAAAGCTCTGCCCCTTGGATGGTTTTTCTAGAAGTAAGTTGGGTTGCTATAGTTAAGATCATGAGTGTCTACCATAGGAAAATGTAATCTGGCTAAGGCTAGTGGCATCAGACTCCTAGGATAGCGGCCCAGATCAAATCTGTACAGGTATGACTTGGCCAGGACCCAAAGACACTGGCCTGCCTCCCAGTTAAAGGCCATGGCCAGCAGCTTTGTGCAGCCACACGCTGGCTGTCCATGCTGGGCCCCTACCAGTCAGCTGTTTCTGGATCTCTGTGCTCCCAGTTCTCCGCAGGAGGTTGACAGCCTCTCGGATCCCATTCTGCCTCCGGGTCTCCAGCTTGTTGGTGTTGCTCCGGAACACCAGGTTGCGCAGGGCCCCTGCAGCAGCCTGCTGGACGTTCTGGTTGGGGCTGCGGAGGAGGTCCACAAGCTTGCAGATCCCTCCCAACTGATAGACCTACAAGAAGAGTTGCCACATTGCCTGGTTGGTGGGGTATAGGGTGGGGGTGGGGAGTCCATGTCAATTATTGTCTGTTCAGCACAAATTTTTTTCTCAGGCCAAAAAAGTCTACTTCTAGTTCAGAAATATCCAACAAAACCAAGGTAGGTTGGCCCAGCCCAGAATTCAGAGCCTAGGCCTTTTGCATCCCAGCAGAGCGATGGCTAGCAAGGTAACCCTCTTCTCTAAGCCCTATTTTCCTCCTCAGGAGTATGGTGGCGAGGGCTTGATGAACAAATGTATACATGTACATCGCAGAATCCTCAGGTAGAACACAAACATTAGAGAGATGTTCTCCTGGAAACTCTCTGACCAGAAACTTTCATGCCAACTAACCCTGGCTGCTAGGAAGCTCATTTATGGCGCATCTTGGGCTGGCCTGCAGAGTCTGTGGGTTTCCCACCTGCCCACCCCACCTGGGGAAACACATGCCACTATAACATGTAGGGGGAGGAGAGGCAGAAAGGTAGGGGGAGGGAGATGAGAGGCGAGGAGGGGGATAGTCGTGTTCCTTAGTGAAATTGATAAGAGATTTTGATTGGCCTGTAGCTCTCACTGAGTGTTCTCTTCCATGACCAGCGAGTGGAATGTACCTTCCTAATGTCCACCCAAGAGGGCTTTGCTTTGCACATTGGGATGCCAACTCTGACCCTGGGCATTGTCAGGGATACTCCTTATTTCTGGCAGCTGGGCATAGAGAGAAGGAGGCAACTAAAAGTGTTTCTGCCCATCTCCAGATGCAGGATGAGGCTGCCAAGCCCAAGCCCTGCCCAGGCCTCCTGGGAGAAAGCTGTGTGACCAGCTACCTGTTGCTTGGCGGATTCGTCCTGGAAGCAGGTGTGCTGGATGTAATAGGCCCCGATAGCCTGGTACTTCTCGTCCTGGGAGCTCAGGTACTGCACGGCCTTTGGGATAGTCAGCCCACTGCATTCGATGTCCTCACTGCAAATCCTGTGAGGAATAGGCAGCAGGGCATATCACAGGGGAGCAGGGAGCCCTGGTGAGTAGGTTCGGAATCCTACTTGTGCATCTGAGCTGACACAGACTCATCTGCCCTCCAGAGGGTCAAAACAAGGTGGCCTGGCTCACTCGGAGAAAATCCTTGGGACACTGGCTGTGATGAGGCCTAGTCATGGGTTATTAAGGTCTGAGCAGGCCAGTTGTCTCTACACTGCAAAATCCTACTTAGTTCCCTGAAGGGAAGTCCTGTACAGACTACCAGCTCTCCTGTTCATGTTGGTACTGGGCAAATGGAAGAGAATGGCCGAGTATATCTATTCTAGCAGTCCATTCATCCACCCACCCTCCCATCCATCCACCCACCCTCCCATCCATCCATCCATCCATCCATCCATCCATCCATCCATCCATCCATCCATCCATCCTACCCATCCATTCATACATCCACCAACCCATCCATCTATCCATCCATCCATCCATCCATCCATCCATCCATCCATCCATCCATCTTCTCATCCACCTATCCCCAGGTCCCACTGGATCTTATTACACAAAAATTCACACATCTATCCCTCTTCCTGACCACCACTTTCCTCTGGATCAAGATCATCCCCCAGGACAGTGATGGCAAGAGACCTTTATAGCTCTTGCTTTTTCCTCCCAGCTCCCTCATCTAGCATGTTACAAATTTAACCACAGAAGTTGTACTAAAACCCTGTCCCCCATATTGTTCCCGAGTTAGGAGCCATCACCAGCCCCTGTGTACTATAGGTTCAAGTTCATACTGCTTTGACTGAGACCCAAGGGCATGTGTTAGGTTAGCGCATAGGAAATGTATGACAGTTCACATATATGTAAGCCACAAAACTAGAAATTTCATGCTTTCACCTAATAGTCTAGCTCCACTGTGTTATCTTGCACACTCCCCAATCCCTGCCAAGAGTGCACTGTGCAAGACCAGCAGGTCTCAGGCCTGCCCCACAACACTGGAGCCGTGAAGACTCCCATGGATGGGGGGCCACCCTCTAGGAGCCTCTCTGGCTCCCATGGCACACAGTGACAGGTGACTTCCATCTAAGTGAGTATTGCTTCCCTACAGAGATTGCAAGGTCACTGAGGGCAGAGACAGATCTTCTGTGGCACTTGGCCCTACCCTATAGGTCCCCTTCAGCATTTATACAGGGAGCCTTCTCCCCATTTTCCCATCAATAAATAGTTATGACTTAAGCTAGGGTGACCCAACTTTGTTTCTGGAAAAACCTTCCAAGAGGCAGAGCTCTCTGGCACTAGGTTAGGAGCACCTTGTCCTGCCCTGCTTTTTTTTTTTTTAATTTTATTTATTTATTTATTTATTTAGTGTGTGTGTGTGTGTGTGTGTGTGTGTGTGTGTGTGTGGCCAGCTCAGCCCACCAGGGGGCGGGACTGGCTGGCGTGT